TTGCTGTGAATATTTTGTTGTGAATATTATTCTAGTCGTGAGAACAACATGTTTTGTAAATTACTAAATGATTAGTTTATAAATATATTTGCGAAATAATATAATGTATTGAAACAAATATTAATGTACATTTTAACATTAGTTGTAGTTTTATAACATTTGTTTCTCAATAATAAGTTTTGTGGACAAATATATGATAACGAAAGAACATTATTAATATAAAATTTAAATATGTCTACAATTTCAATCATCATAATTTGCAAAATTACAAACTCATTCAGGGTTAATTATATTTCTTATAAAATAATCTAGTTCATATTTTATCTTAAAATACTTTTATTTTGAATACCTAAAATATTTTTAGCTTACTTTATAACAATATTTTAATATCAGCCAGTGTAAAACAATCCTGTCATTGACCTATCATTTATTATTAAGACAAACTCTTTTATTCTATAAAAATCTTTGATTTTTAAAATGGTATTCAATATAGGATGTTATCAGATACGTCGTATTATACAATGTACATGATCGGAATATTGTATTTATTATACTGTACATGGTAAACTTAAATTTATATTCTCTCAGTTATACATAATTATTGCCTTAAATTCTTGGTATTTCTTCGCATTATATTATCGATCAAATGATGCATTTCTAGAAAAATAATATCAAATAAATGTGAAAAAGTCTGAAACTATCGCTTCAATCGATAAGATTTGCTTCATTTCCTCAGCCATACACTACTCTACTGTTCTCTCTCTCTCTCTCTCTCTCTCTCTCTCTCTCTTTTTATAACACAGAATATTCTTATTATTTACTATTTTTGTTGACATTTTATTCAATAATGAATATGATTTTATCAACCAATGGAATGGTAGGGATAAGAAAACCATTCAAACGATGGACTGACACTCGGTTTGAATCCACGATTGATTAATTGATATACAAAAACGAAATGAGAAATCGATTGTTTTGTGAAGGAGAGAGAAAGAAAGAAAAAAAAGAGAGAGAGAGAGAGAGAGAGAGAGAGAGAGACTAAATAATAGAGCAAATCGTTAAGTCAACGAAATAAAAATAGTTTCATTGCTTTTGTGGTGTTTATCCAAAAGTTGATTTTATGCCACTCTTTACACAAAAGACATTTTCCACACATTTTTCTCTGTTTCTCTATTTGATGTATTTTTATCAATATTGTCGACAAATGTATTATAAATAGTAGAACTCATTATTCAATGCAATGTAAAACACATTTCCTTTTCTCATTCATCTATTATTTAACAAAAGAGTTTCAAGTTTTATAGATTTCCCCAAATTAAAAATTCTCTTTAAAATTCTCTTTATATAATGTATATTTAATATGCAGTGTAGTTATAATGTGTATAATGTATTATACAATAGCTACTGTTACTCAACAATTAAACTAGCATGATTTTCTTTGTTTAATTGCTTTAATTAAAATATACTAACAACAAATTATCACATTTAAAAGTTCCAGGAAAAGCTATTATATACCAAATTGTATATTATTAACATATAAATGATTTACTATATAAATTAAATGATAAGTCCTTAAACAACAACCATATATACTCTGATCCGGTAGTGTTTTTTATTGTATTGTTTTTATCGTTTACCGAATTTAGTGATCCAGTGGTTGAGGAATTGACATCAAATATTAACGAACAGAATATTGACATAAATATCATATAAAGTAGGGATAAGAATATATATAACATTTTTCCCTACCGTTTCTGTCGGTGACCTAAACTTTCAGACAAATCGATAGCTCATTATTAATAGTGAAAAAAGCATTTTATAACGAATGGCATAATAATAATTATACAGCCGTGTTATTATGCCCTACACTCTCTCTACCGCCATATACTGCACATAATATTAGTATTGAATATTCCTTTCGTACGGTTATATCGTTTATAAAAGCAATATTTAGCAGAACTTATTTGAATAAAAAATTATTGCATTGTTTAGCGCATAAAATAATTAATATATTTATACGAATCACTGTTTGCATTGGTATTAAACAGTGGTAGGAAAATATTATGTTTGTTTTTTTTTGTTAAACACTATTTTGCATCAACAGAATTGCTATAATAAAACAGTTTAAAGAATTTTCATTTTTATTGCAACAATTATTGAAAGTCATAAACAGCTAATGATTACATTTTGCCTATGAATGCATTAAAACTATTAAATAATTAACTATTTCTACGCTATTAATTGAATTATAAGATAATAAATATAAATAAATACAACAATTATTAATGTATTATAAATTTCATGTTATATTCCTATACACAGAATTCAATTCGCCATAATTTGTCGTTAAATAAATGTTTCATAAAAATACCCCGAATGAAAGATGAGCCGGGAAAGGGGGGCTTTTGGAAACTGGACCCCATATATGCCGATACACTAGTGGACGGAGTGTTCAAAAAACGCCGCCCGAGTCAAAGGGGTTCACAAAATTGTCTCAATTCTAACGGAACTCCGTTTAGGAAAAAGGTTTTGTACACTATATTTCAGTTATTAAAATAAATATGATTGCATTTAAATTTTGAATTAAATTCATTTTGTTTGTCATTTTTAGTCACGAAAGAAGGAAAGCCTGAAAAACGATTGCCAATCGAGACATATGAATGATGTTAAGGGTATTATAGGGAGCGGTGGGGCTAATGAAGTGCCTCTCATACACGACACTCCACCCAACTCTACAGAATCCTATAGTCTTTACGGAGAGGTATATATGAGAAATGCATGTGTATATAGGGATAAATGAATGGCTCATCCAATTACTCTTTATCTATCCTCTCTTTGTGGTGATAATAGGCGGCCAATGATGTGGTAGAGTTGGTGACAGCGGTGAACAGCATAGAGGCGGTGTCTGTCGGTCAGTGCGATTCCTATTCATACACAATGCACTCGCAATCGGACGGACATCTCTCGCACGGGGGTTACGGCCAAGAGATTTGCATTTCAGAGACATCGCCGACGGGTGTGTCGGACGCCTGTATGCTGGAGACGGACGGCGGAGACATTTGCTGGAACGCTATCCTCACTGACGCCGATCTCAACGAACTGTCAAACTATACGACAAACCCAGTCATACATACGGCCGACTCCAGCCTAACCGTCGGCGACAGCACCGCAACCACCGCTCAATTGACTGCAGTAGAGCCACACACTCTGCACTTAGTGGCCAACGCGTCGCCGGCGGCCAACACTTCGGCTGTCGCTGTCGGCGGTGGTCTCGAAGAGTCGGAACTCTTTCACTCCCATCACAACGGAATCTCGCGTCACATCAATTGCCTGGCGTTGAGGCATATGATGGGCTCGGATGTGATATCTGCCACCCATAATGTGGTCACTTGCGTCAACCCCACCGTAAACACCGCCGATTGGAACCACTGGCAGACGTTCTCCACAGTTGCCAACACCGACAGCACAGACCTTCTTATACGGCATATCAATGGTAACTGTGAGCCAATAGTGAGTCCGTCGCCACCTATTGCTTACATAACGACAACATCGGCGCCGATCAATACGAGAGCGGCCGCAGTGGCGGTCAGCAAACAGACCAATACATGTGTTAATAATAGCAACCAAACGGCGATCAACTCGTCGACATCGGCCACGTCTACCCAACCTTCCAGTCCGAGTTCCGGCAACTTTGAGCACACGAACCCATTGCAGCCGTGGGCCGAGTGTAAGGCCGCGCTCGAGGCCGCGGCCCTCGACTTAGAAAGCTTTGGGACATTAGATGTACACAATTACTGATCAATACATGATATTCTCATTTTTCTGTCTATCCTTTTTATTAATTGATTTTTACATTTATAGTTATTTAATATTAATTCAATACATTTATAATGCTTTTAATTCTTACAATTCAAACAAATACACATTCTTTGAGGCCATAGACAACAAGTGTTTGAATAAAGTTTTAGATATTTGTCATTCATATTATTAGAATCGTACAGAAAATGATAAGACATACAAAACTAAATATAATTATTTATTGAATTAATGTTTATTTACTTTAATTTATTTAGAATTAATTTTAAATTAATTAAATATACGATATTTTGTCATTAATTTTATATCAATTAAATTATCTAACACTAGGTTGTATTTAAGTTAATTTAATTTCTAGTCTATTATAATTTTTTTAAAATACTCAAATATTTAACAAAAAATACTTCAATTACTATTTATTTAAAAATATTTTTAATTATAAGTTACAAAATATTTTAAACCAAAAAGAATTATAAAGAATTGGTGAATATATTTGGGAATATGTGTACGAAAATTATATACAAAATATACATAATTTGTTTGATTGTCGAAACATTTAGATATTATGTAAAAATCGTGAAATCATTTTTCATTAATTACTAATTAATACAAAAATTTCATTAATTATTTGATGATTTCTCTCAAAAACAGTTTACAAAAACATTTTCCATTTTCTAGTCATTTGAACAAAAGAAAACTCAATATACAGTTATATAACAAACAAAAAAAGTCAAAAAATATATAAAAATATGAATCAAACTTTTAAACATAATTCTCGTACAATTAATTTATCGTTTAAAAATTTATAGTAAGAATACATTAATATATATTTAATGACATTTGAATGCAATGTAAAGAATTTAAGCGAAAAGAATATATGGAAATGACATTTATATGGAAATTCTTTAGTGTTTGACTGTTTTAATGAAGACTATTTTGTCACTTAATATACATTACAATAGCATTATTTGCTTCCATTTTATGTTATAATTGATAAAAAATCATTATTTAATTTGTAAAATACATTAATTTAATAGATTTTGACAACAAATTACAATCAAATAATAATATGTTTAAACAAATCAATTACCCGACTATACAGTGTGTTGTATACCTCGGGTGCCCTTTGATTATCCGTCCAGAATATTATTATTATTTCATTAATATTGTAATTATAATATAAGTTTAGTTAAGAATTTTCTGTTTAAAACAATTACGATATTTGTAAAACTAAATTATGATTTAATCAAAATAAAGGTAAATTAATTGATCTGATATGTCGTCTATAATTTATGATAAACATTAATTAAACGTATTCTTTGTGGTTGTAAAGCAAATGCAACTATCATTTTAAAGTCTTATGATAAATATGTAGTTATTATTACCAACATCATATAAATAATATAAAGTTAAATTATAATTTATAAATAAGTAATGCAATCAATGTTAATACCGTTCTTTCTATAATGGCATATAAGTTAATCATATTTTCTTTATCAATGGTTTAATCCCTCGATTATAATGATAATCAAATGTGAATATAATTAATACATTACTTTTCATATAGTCTACAATTTAAAACAATA